GCGCCCAACGTGGGGTAATCAATTTTTCTGGTGAACTGATTTTGTTGAGTTTCTCAGCATTGATTTAAGCCTCAATCTGAAAATATACTATATTGAACTCTCACGTGATATAAGCTGCAGTATTTTAAGTATGTGGTTGCCCAATATGGGTCCACCAACCCCGATTCCTAGCAATTTTTATTGGTGATAATCAGATTAATTTCCTCATTGTGTTCATGTTACCGAGTCATTTCCAATGACTGAATAATAATTTTGATGATGGCTCAGGTTGGGCGCCATCAGTCCAATATTTGTCAAGACATTTGCAAACGTAGGGAAGGTTAGTGAAAACGAAGCTGAAGACCTAAGGTATACAACCTTTCACAACATCTGCTTCTAAACTCCCTAAATTTTATGGTGAATTGAATTCCTGTAGTTCCTCAAAACAAATTTTTTTCTGAAGTTTCTTTTCAAAACCAAAAAATCCTTTCCAACTCCCAAACTATTCGGAATTCGTTTACAACAACTACACATTTCCACTACCATCCACGACGACAACTCATTGCAATGAAATTTGTCTTTCGTGTTATGTGTTTTTTTTTTGCTCATTTTTTTCACAACTTCTGAATCATCCATTGAAAGCCCAAAAAAAACGAAAAAAAAACAACAACAAATTTTTGTTGAAAAACAAAAAACCTACACAAACTAAAAATAGAGGCACACACAAACCAAAAAAAAAAAAAGAACGAAAAACAACAATATTTTTGCGCCTAAAATACGCAAAAAACTACTGCTGTCATTAACGCACAAAAACACAAAACGTCAAAGCAAAAAATAGATGTCATCGTCTCCGCCATCACCCGCACCACCAGCATCTTCGCCCTACTCCTCCTCATTCTCTCACTCAAAAAAAAAAAAAAATAGGTTCATCGCCAAGAAGTTTGTTATAGATTATTTTTGTATCTCCCATGTTGGCGATGATGACGATGCTGCTGATGCAGGCATAGGAAAATGCAACAACATTTTAATGTAAAGCCGGCAAATTGGTAGCAGTGCAAGGGAGCTGGGGAGTACCGGAAGGAGGTTATGGTGGGCATATGCTGATATTTTTATGAATTTATTTTCGTATATGCACTCTATGGGCATTGCATGCTGACGATGTCTAGAAATTCTCGATTGCGGATAGTAGCCTTTTCGAAAACATATTTCAAAATTTCTGTGTGTGTGTGCGTGCATCCCCCCAACCATATATTCCAATATTATCTTAGAAAAAAAAAACGTCCCCATACACGAGAAATTAAAAAACAAAATCCTAAACGACGTTCATTTTGAAAACAAAATTTTGTTTTTTTTTTCCCTGCAACCTGGCTGCATTCATGCCCTGCTAGCCAGACCTGACTGCACTTCCATATTCAACGTCAAGACAAGACACAGCACACGGGAAATGGCCCTATAAACGCTTCATATTACTACGTGTGTGTGTGTGGGTTTGTACACACCTATGCGTATAGCCATCTAAAATGTACCCCTCTACATAAATATGAAATCATTAATTTTATTCTCGGTATGTGTGCGTGTGTGTGTGTGTGTGTGTAAATGTGCGTATTAGTGGCCCATGTATTTTCCCCCTTTTTTCGAATTTCGTGTTTAGTTTTTCCATGTCTGTCTGTCTTTCTGCGTTCATACATATGTCCTCCTTTACGAAACGCATAAAGAAAACAATAATAAAAACATATGGATGGGTTGTATTTTCCACACCCAACCGGCCTTTCCTTTTTGTTCGTTGTGTTTTTGAGGGCAAATAGTTTGCATTATTAACATCTGCAGTGGAAAAGCGATGAACAAATTATAAGGGAAGTTTTGTGTTAAATTTCCTTTAATTTTCCAACATTTTGGCCATGGAAAATGGAAAGCATGATTAAACATAACAAGAAAATTTCAAATGGCGCCCAACGTGGAGTTCATATTTAGGTTTTTGGATGTGAAATCCATAAACACAATAGAGCGATCCAATTTTCTTGAATTACGTGGGAAAATTAGAAAAAAATAAAAAAATCATTAAAAGTGGCGCCCAACGTGAAACACAAAAATAAATTTATGAACAATCCAATCTTCTTGAATTACGTGGGAAAAATAGAAAAATTTTCAAAAGATAGTAGCCTTTGAAATGATATTTCAAACAAACATATTAAAAGTGGCGCCCAACGTGAAACACAAATATAAGTTTATGAAAAATAAGCCCACAAATCTTAAGATATTTTAATATATTCCAAAAATCCAATCCTCAAAGCGACACTCAAAGTCGGATAAAAAGTCATGTAAACGGCTATAAAAACCTCTTCACCTAACTTTTTAAGGCAGAAGTTTAAAACAACAAAAAAAAAAGGAAAATCAACAACGAAAAGTGTCTCATAATCCTGTATCTACGATGTCTCTCTAGCTTTTCGGGGCTAATTTCGAATTCTAAGTAAAATCCCATAAAATCCCAAAAATAAATTGTGAGAAAAGTGTAAAAGTGGCGCCCAACGTGGATCGCAATTAAAATTGCTTGCATTTCTAAGTAATTTGTAGGACCTCATCACTCAAATTATTATTTTTATTTATCTTGTCAAGCTAAAGCCGTGTAAAGTTAAGCCGTAGAGAAATCTCAAGAGCCCCACAACAAAGTGGCGCCCAATGTAACCAATTATATTTATAAACATTGCATTAAATATTCATATATTATTATCACGATTTTAGGCGAAGGGGTTAGGTTGCAGGGGAAAATCACAGGGAATACATTCCATATTTAAAGTGGCGCCCAACGTGGAATGTGGAACAATTTAATGTAGAAATATTGCAAATGAAGGAAAAACGAAAACGCCAACCTCTAAAGTGGCGCCCAACGTTGGGCAAAATGATTACAAGCTATCCCGATCGGAATAAACAATTCATAGAATTTGGAGGAACTTTAAAATTCTTTAATGCGTTATCCTGAAACTAGGCGGGGAATGTATTTCATATCTAAAGTGGCGCCCAACGTGAGATCGACATCAATTAAATGCATTAATATTACAAATGATGACAGAAGAAACAAAAATTAATTGTTTTTCCTAAGAATAAAAGGACGTCAAGTGGCGCCCGAGATATCCATTTAAGATTTTGTTTGAAAATATTCTGTGAAGAGGCACCCAATATTGATATTAATCTTGGAAGTGCTGGTGACAGTTTTATTCCAATTTGAAGCTATAGTTATAACTTGGCTTGAAATATCCATTAAAGTTGGCAGTCGATAGTGTCTACACAAAAATATAGCTCACATTTTGGGTTAACAAACCTCAAAATCAAAGGAGGATATTTTTATTTAATTTATTTTTTAAATGGCGCCCAACGTGGGGATACATTCTTTGAAACCCCGGCTTGGTTTTATTGGAATTTCGAATGACATCAAATAAACCCAAGTTTGACTTCAAAATCAAAGGTAGATATTTTTATTTCAATTAATTTTCAAGTGGCGCCCAACGTGGGAGCCATATTATTTGAAGTCACGGCGTTAGATTTCCTTGAATTTCGAAGGGCAACTAATACATCTAAGCTACACTTGTCATGCGATTTTCACAATATTTCGCCAATTCTTCCCAATTCACATCTTAGAAATTCAGGTCCAAAATTTTCAAAGTCCTTTCGAAACCTTTTACCAGACTTTCATAATAACCACACCTTAGCTACCGGTCTCACATTTGTTAAACAAGACTTTAAGTACTTTCTTTCCAGGCTCTATTGATTTTCTATTAAGAGATTGAAGGGTGTCTTGCTCCTCGCTCCTGTCCCATACCTAGGAAACTTCTACAGGTAGCGCCCAAGACATTTTGAAATACCTCCATCACAGGAGTATATAGAAGGCCAATAAATCCACTCAAGCTTTGGTTATGGCAATTGTTTTGTACGGTTTTCCAAACCATAAGAGAATTTTTTTTTACCTCAATCTTAAAAGTTCATCAGGTGGCGCCCAACGTGTGGCAACAAACTACCAATGGTCTCTCGACTATTTTATCAGACTTTCAAAGGACCGTTACCGGATTATCCTTTCTCTTTGACACTTTTTGAGGGAGGTACCTGTAAAAGTGGACCGATATTGCCCATATCCGAACTCTATCTACGTTTGATAATAATATTACGATGTAACAAGTTTTAATAAAATCGGATACTCCCATCGAGAGCTATCGTGCCCACCAGTCAGACCGACAGACGACGGACTTCGCTCGATCGACCACAAATGTCCTAAAACGGATTTGGTGCAAAGAGACCTAGGTTCTAAAACCGTTATTTTGATGGCCGTATCAAACGATATATAATCTCTGTAGCCATATGGCTGAGGGTATAAAAATAAACGTCCATCTCTTAGATGTTAGGTGTGGCCAGAAGGGACCTTCCCACTTGTCTGAGTTCTCGTGCCAATAACCCTTAAGAAGTCTTGCCTAACGGGGGGTGAGCACGTACTTGAATTTTAGCAAAAACTTGTAAAATATTCAAAAATGTCGAAAGGTATAGATTTGGGAGGAGGCCCAGGGCCCCCACTCAGTTTGTGGCAGCATGAGTTTTAATGTTTTATCTACTCCACATTGACCCACCCAACCATAATTTCAATTCTGACAAAATTTTAACTTTCAATGTAAAATGTAGAAAAAATGTCGAAAAGGTATAGATTTCGTAGGAGGAGCAGGGTCCCCACCCATTTTGTGGCTATATGCCAATTATTGGTGTTTCTACTCCCACAATAGCCCACCCAACCATAATTTTTAATATTTACCATTAAAGTTTTTTTTTCACAATTTTTTTTTACTTTTTTTTTTCATTCTTTAATAAAAAACACCAAATCCTATACTCCACCTACAACACGTACACATTACCTTAACGTTACATTTCTCTAACTAAGCCTTACTTGTGACTTAGAGAGTTTAGAGAGGAAGTTATAGAAAGAGAGAGAGCGGCAATACATATACTTTACTTTTGTAATATTAAATAAATAAAAAAGAACTTACATTTTTTGTAAAAAGCAATCCAATTGTTTTTTAAATAAAAAATAACTGCAATTAATCCTTTTTTGTTGAGGGGGTCGAAGGTGTTTGTTTATAAATTTTGTTTGGTTTTGATTTTCTTTTAAAAGACGACGACGACGACGAAGAAAACCATTACTCTACAAAAAAAAACAACTCTTGCACCAGGAAACATGGACTGGCCGCGAGAGAGAGAGACACACACACACTGAGAGTGGAAAGAAGAAGAAAAACTTATTTGCCGTTGGTTTTTGTTGCTGTTGGTGTAACAATAATAATAATCCACAGGAAATGACAGACAGATGTGCATGCGTGCGTGCATGCGTATGTTTTGTTGTTGCCTTGCCTTAGGTTCGTTGGATTTTTTGATGTTCACTATAATGCTGTTTGTTGTTGTTTTTAGATGCTGACTGGTGATTCTTCTTCTTCTTGATTTTTACTTTTTTGTATTTTGTTGTTTATTTTCTTAGTTTTGTAAGTTGTTGAATAGAGCGCATTGATCATTTGTTTGACTGGCTGACACTACTACAACTACTACTCTTCTCTTTTGCTCTTTGTTGTTGTTTTTTCTGTTTAGTTAAATGGGCAATGAGTTTTGTGTGTGTTTTGTGTGTGCACGAACGATTGTGTTTCTTGTTGTTGTTTTGTTTTCATAAAGAGTCGTCGTCGAGTATTTCTGTGTGTAGTTTGTTGTGTATGCGAGGAGGAGAGCCTTTAGGTTTTGGTTTTATGTAATTGTTGCAAACAAAAATTTTGTATTTTTTGAATTTTTTCGATTAAAAACATTTAAAAAACTAAGGAAAATATTTTATTGCTTACTAGGCAGAGAAATAAACAAAATTCCACTTCTTGTTTGGTATTCGAATATCAAAAATTGTTTTTCACTCTTGTTGTTGTTGCGTTTGCTTTGGTTTCTCTTGAGAAACTTTGCCTTCGTTTGTTTTTTTGATTCATTCATAAAATTTTTTATTCTTTTTTGTTGTTGTTGTTGTTGTTTGTTGGCTTTGCTCATCTGCTATATATACATATATATCCTCTATGTGTTTTGTTGGTTTTTATTTGCTATCCACACACTTCTTTCATACACATAATACAAATTTATTTGTTAATTATTTTTCCATTTTTTTTCAAAAAAATTTTCTTGTAATACTTCTTCTGCTTCTTCTTGTGTGTATGTATGTATTAAAAATTTGTTGTATTTTTTTTTTTTTTTTGAAAAAATTATTTTTTTTGCTTTTTTCAACTCTTGCTTGATTTTTCTTTCATTTTGGTTTTATTTTTAGGCACTGAATGAACTTTTCGTTTTGTTTTTTTTTCTGGCTTTTCTTTATGTATTTTTTGCTTATTTTTTTACTTTTCGTTTTTTTCGCTTTTTTTTTTTGGTTAATTTTGTTTTAATTATATCCGATGATGATGGTGTTGCTGCTGCTGCTGATATTGATGATGAATTTGTTGGATGCCTCTATCTATCTATGCTGCGGGGATAAATGAATAATGACGAAGAATGATGAGTAAAAAATGGCTATGCATGGGGGAAGAGGAGGTGGAGGAGGTAGGCATTACAAAAACAAAAAAAAAACCAATGAAAATGATTTCATTAAGCAGACATAAATAATGCAAGGTTTTGATCAATGAAAGTGGCAGAAAATCAGCATCGTTTTTTTTATTTTTATTTTTTTTGTTTCTCAGCAATCACTCACTTTGCTATTCCACAATGAAATTTAAATCGATTTTTTTTAAGTGGCGCCCAATCGTTTTGTTTTTTCTTATTTAATAAATTTAATTTCTATTAAAAACATTTTTTGTTTTGGGGCTGGGTCGTTTGGTTAGTTGTTGGTCGATCGAAACGCGTGTACACTCAATGTCTGACTGACAATGGGATTCTTTATTTTATTTTTTTTTCTGCTTTCAGTGAAAAAGCGGTAAACGATTGAAGCGAATTAAATCCAAGTGGTTGTATTCCGTACTGTGGCTAACTCGAACTAATGGCAATGCTCAGGAATTACTCTCACATAGCTGGCAAAGGCAAAACAAATAACCACATACACGTACATGTATGCATGGCGAGAGAGGAAGATCGAGAGAGATCGAGCAAACCCCACACAATTCTCACTCTCTCATGAAATCATTATGGGAGAGCACCCATGTAAAACAAGATTTCCATTAGCAGGGGTGCTCAAAAAGAAATATCTCTTTTCAGTCAAATTTCTCTTTGCTTATTTAAATCAAGAACAAAACAGTGTTAAGTCATTATTTATACAAATATTTTGTATCCATTTGTTTTATAATTATTTTGGCAAACATTCGTGTTTAAAAACAATTAAATAGAACCGTAAAATATAAAGAAAAACAGAATTTTAATTTTCTCTTAAATTATCTCTTTTTTCTCTTCATGTTCTAGAACACGGTTTTGAGCACCCCTGCCATTAGGCAATACCAAAAGTGATATTTGTATGAAGAGAGAGACTGAGAGAGAGAGGAAATGTGTGCTGCAAGAGAATCCAATTACAATTCTCTCGTCGGTTTTTGGATATCTCATAGATATATGCATAATATGGAGAGAGAAAAAACTACAGTGGCTTGAAGTGAAACCATGGGACAATTGGGTAAGTCATGGACTTCAAAGACAAAAAAAAAAAAAAAAACAAAAAGATTGAAAAAAAATTCCGTGCAGATATTTACAGAAGATAAGGTTAAGCTGAAGGAGAGGAGTGCAAAAGTCAGGCAAATTGTCCTATGTTCAGTCGCCTATCAGGGTCAATAGCTGATGGATATTTGAACATAAGCAGTTGCTTATTTATTCATAGATATGATAAATAAGAAAATAAGTTTTAAATGGCGCCCAACGTGTGGAACGCATATAGCATTTAAATAATATTGTTTTGCTGTTCTAGCCTAAAAGGCATCTAAATAACAACGTAATTGTTTTATTTTAAGACTCTAAATGGCGCCCAAAGTGGGACGTCGGGAACTTAATTCTCGTTTTATGTAAATTGCAAATTAAAGAAATTCCAAATAAAAATTGTGACAAAGAAACGCTTTTTTTAATTTTCCCTTGATTATTTATTTAGTTGTCTTTCGAGACGAGTTTATTGTTTTGAAATTTCCAGTGAAAAAAGAAAACCAGATAGACACTATCACACACCGTTTGGAGTTAAGGTCCATAAGGCATATTTGGTGTGGATGTCTTACGAGGGCGTGCTTTGAAAAATAGTTTTTATGAGAACTACACACAAGTCCATCTCTAGTTCTATTAGCAAAACTTTGTCATATCAAAGTTTTTTATATCATGTTTTCTTATATCAAAAATCCAGCCTCGGTATTGGTTTTATCCGCATACATGATGAAATTCCCAAATGGCGCCCAACGTGGGGTACAAGGTTCAGTTATTGGTACAATGTATGACTAACACCTACTGCAATTCTTTTAAATCGCTCATTTAACGTCAAATATTTAAAATAGCACTGAGAGAAACGCCTACAACGTTAGTATGAATCACATATGGCTCAGTAGTGAACCAAAGGTAAAATTGTCCATAAGCTGTGGTGACGCCCAACATGTTGCTCTGTCTGAAAGGTATGTTTTAATACCACATTCGAACGATTACTGAAAACAATGTTCCCTTTTCGATTACAGAATCCAAGAGCGAATGCATATCACGAGTGGCGCCCAATGTGACCCCACATTAATTGATGCTATGGATCAAATTCTATATGCAGTCTTGGTTAATGGTGATAAAAGCTCTTTCAGTCTATGAAAACTAAATGGAGGGTAGAACTAAATTCGACCCTTTACTTATAAATAAAATTAATGGCATTTATGTGTATCTTTTAAATTAAAATCTTAAAAATACCAAATGTAGCCGTAATATTAGGGTCTACGACGACGTGGACCTGCATGCAGGCAACTTTTGTCATAAGCCATTACAATATTCAAATGTGAACTTGAAAAAAATCGGTGAATAATGTAGATAAAATCATCCATATAGGGAGGTACTATTATATGGGGGCTATACCAAAGTGTGGACCTGCACAGACAAATTTCTGCCTTAAGCTGCAGTATTCATTACGAACTTCAAATACTAAATTTGAAACAATTCCGATGAATAATGTCGCCTAACTCAACAAAATACCAAATATAGGGAGGTACCCTTATATGGTGGCTATAAGAAGACGTGGACCTACACAGACAATTTTCTGTCATAGGCTGTAGTATCCATTTCGAACTTCAACTACCAAATTTGCGGTGAATAATGCCGCTCAAATCATTAAAATACCGAATACAGGTAGGAATCATTATATGGGGGCTGTACGAAGACGTGGACCTGCTAAGACAATTTTCTGCCTTAGGCTGCAGTATTCATTACGAACTTCAAATACTAAATTTGAAACAATTCCGATGAATAATGCCGCTCAATTCATTAAAATACCGAATACAGGGGGTATCATTATATGGGGGCTATACGAAGGCGTGGACCTGCACAGACAATTTTCTGTCTAGGGCTTTAGTATCCATTACGAACTTCAAATACCAAATTTGAAACATTTCTGCTGAATAATTTCGCTAAAAGTATCAATATACCGAATATCGGGAGGTACCGTTATATGGGGGCTATACAAAGGCGTGGACCTGCACAGACAATTTTCTGTCATAGGCTCTAGTATCCATTACGAACTTCAAATACCAAATTTGAAACATTTCCGGTGAAGAATGTCGCTTAAATCATCAAAATACCGAAAATAGGGAGGTACAATTATATGGGGGCTACACCAAAACGTGGACCTTCATGTCCCATTTTCAATATCCTTTTCAATATTCCTGCAGGCATAGTATACATTTGAGTAAATTTTTATCAACTTAGTTCATTTCGTTCGGAAGGTAGAGTGAGTTTGACAGTCGGACAGACATCGCTAAATCGACATAGAATTTTATGCTGATCAAGAATATATATACTTTGTGGGGTCTAAAATATATATTTCGAGGTGTTACAAACGGAATGACAAACCTAATGTACCCTCCATACTATGGTGGAGGGTATAAAACGATCATAATATCCGAAATAAGCTTCGAATCTCTTAATATTTCACACATCCTATTATTTCTACTAACACAAGATCTACTGTGAAGATGGGATATAACGGTCTACTCCTTCTGGTACCTCCCCCACAAAGGGTCAGAAGTTTGAATATCCATGAAGTTAATAAAACGCGAAATTAACGTCAGATTCCATTCAGGTTTGGTGCAACTCTATATTTCCATCAACACAATATCTGTTATAATGATGGTAGAGATCGGACCAGTTCTTCTGGTACCTCCCCCACAAAGGGTCAAAGTTTTGAATAACAAAAACGATCATAAAATTCGAAATAAGCATTCGGTTCTCTTAATATTTCACTCATCCCATTATTTCTACTAACCCAAGATCTACTGTGAAGATGGGATATAACGGTCCACTCCTTCTGGTACCTCCGACACAAAGGGTCAACATTTTAAATATCCAAGAAGCTCAAAAAAGGCGATATTAATATCCGATTGCATTCAGGCTTGGTGCATCTCTATGTTTCCAGCAACATAATATCTGTTATAATGATTGTAGAGATCGGCCCATTCCTTCTGGTACCTCCCCCCACAAAGGGTCAAAGCTTTGAATAACAAAAACGATCATAAAAAAGGAAATAAGCATTCGGTTCTCTTAAAATTTCACACATCCCATTATTTCCATACTATGGTGGAGGGTATAAAACGATCATAATATCCGAAATAAGCTTCGAATCTCTTAATATTTCACACATCCTATTATTTCTACTAACACAAGATCTACTGTGAAGATGGGATATAACGGTCTACTCCTTCTGGTACCTCCCCCACAAAGGGTCAGAAGTTTGAATATCCATGAAGTTAATAAAACGCGAAATTAACGTCAGATTCCATTCAGGTTTGGTGCAACTCTATATTTCCATCAACACAATATCTGTTATAATGATGGTAGAGATCGGACCAGTTCTTCTGGTACCTCCCCCACAAAGGGTCAAAGTTTTGAATAACAAAAACGATCATAAAATTCGAAATAAGCATTCGGTTCTCTTAATATTTCACTCATCCCATTATTTCTACTAACCCAAGATCTACTGTGAAGATGGGATATAACGGTCCACTCCTTCTGGTACCTCCGACACA